TCTATAAATATATGTAACAATAACAAGAAAAAGAAACAATGAATTTGAGAGTGAGTGAGTACAGATGCACTGAAGGAGTTAGAGAGAAGATCTAATTATACTTCAATACATAATAATATCTATAAAGAGTTTATTAGCAGGAATAAAACACATATTTTGGAAATAGAAAACTTCATACCATCAAAGTTTTTTTCTTGTTTTAGTGTTTAAATGTATGACAACTCTTTTATAAGTGTTTGTGTTTGTGTGTGTGTACCCACATGCATGTACATTCTCTGTGTTTATGTAGCGCCTGCCACCCTGATATGGACCTCATTAAGTAAATTTTTGTTTCAGTCCTTACCTTTTAACTTGTCAGAGACACAGTTATTTTTGTTACTTTTCTTCTGGATATTCCAACTGGCATTTCTCACAAACTTCATTCAGTACCCTATACAGACATACAAACACAGTAGAGTGGATCTGAACTGGATAAATGCACATTTATTATACAAACATCACCTCCTGTTTCATTTTCAATTTCCTTATATATAAAAATTAGAAGTGTTTATAATCTTATTTAGCAAATTGATTGGATTAAAAAAGGGATTATGAGATTTAAATAAGTGCAGTAGAAACTACCAGGATTTTGCAGGGTGACCTAAATAAGACTCCTACTAATGAAGGATATGGGGCCTATACAGGCCATCTTCTGTAACCAGGCAACTTCCCGTGATGCTACTGGGACACTAATAATTCACAAAACATTCTGCCTTGCCACAATTCTAAAAGTAATTGCCCCAACTAACCATGGACTAAAAGAAATGGAAGCCTGACCAAAAATAACAATCATCCCTTAAGTTGTTTCTTTAGATCTTTGTTATGACACCAAAAATGTCAATTAACAAAGGGTATTGCTTATTCTTATTAATGTATAAAATAGAATTTATGACTTTGTAAACCCCATCTTGAACTAACTAAAGGAGATACTAATATTTATTAGCCAATAAAATTTTGCAATCCACCAGAGATTTTTGGAGATTTTCATTTTCTAAGAACTTTGTTTTTTGGTGTTTGATATTTTTTATGGTTATCCTCTGCAAAATAATGAGCTCCCTTAGGAAGTATAAATTACATATCTCAAATTTCCTCACAGAGTTCAACCCAGATGATTACATATGGGTGATGTTCAATAATTATCAGTCTAGTGGAATTTGATCTATGATACTGAAAATCTCCAAAGGTGATACTGCATATCTAACATGCACAACTGAATACTGTTTATAATAAGTAGAGCATCTTGAGTTGATGTGGTAAGTCATTCTGTTTATGTGTTGCTTTTATTGATTAATGAATAAAGACGCTGATTTGGCCTTTTAATAGAGCATGATAGGCAGGAAAACTAAACTGAATGCTGGGAGAAAGTAGGTAGAGTCACTGAGATGCCATGTAGCCACCGCCAAAGGAGATAGAAGCAAAAACCTTGCTAGAAGGCCACAACCTTGTGGTAATGCACAGATGAATAAAAATGGGTTTGTTTAAGATGTAAGAGTTATCTAGAAATATGCACAAGTTAATATGGCCAAGCAGTGTTGTAATTAATATAGTTTTTGAGTGGTTATTTTGGGTCTGGGCAGTTGCTAAATGAATGAGCAGCCTACCCCAACAGATTGGCATGCCAACATCTGCCAGTCAAATCCACATAAAACCTGGGAGAGTTTATAAAGGAATTCTAGACACATGCAAACAAAGTTTAACCACATTTTTTTTCAGATAAGCTCTGTATGTAGACAGTGAGCAGAAGCACCACAACTTTTTAAAGAGAGGTCTTCCTGATTCAACAGTAGCAGCAAAAAACATGTGGGGTTTCAAATTGGTGGTTTCTGGTTTGTGCTTGTTGCACAAACACCTATGGCTTTTCCAGGAGGCCAAGAACTTAAATGGGGTCTGTGAGCAGTGTGTTACAAATTACTTAATGGTGACACAGACATGCTGCGATCCTGGATCTGGGGTTGAGAAAATGGCTCTCAGAGGCAGAGAACATGCCTCTACCATGTTTAACTGGGCAGAGCAAACAAGCAGGACCATGGACTTGTTCCTAGCCATGCACACTTAGCATTTTTTTTTAAAAAGCACTCTTGATGAAAAAAACAATTACAGATATGCAATGCAAACAAATTCAGATAGAAAAGACCTCTAAATGGGTCACAGTGTTGTATAAATATTTTAGACTTGAGAAAGAGGGTAAAAAGAGTATATACAATTATATTATAAAAGAGTATAGACAGTCATATATTAAAAGAGTAAAAACAATAAAATAAATACTGAACTTTTAGAAAAATTATAGAGTAAGAAAAATAAGCCACACAAAGAAAGAATATACATAGAGAGGCTGGACCATGTATATTATTGTGTTTGCTTTGAATTTTTTGGCTGTGAAAGAGCTAAGTACAGAGACATTCCATTATACCAGCTGTTAAGATAAACTCTCTCTCTCCCTCTCTCCCTCTCTCTCTCTCACACACACACACACATAAAGGTATCTTGACTTCAAAATTTCTGTCTAAGGATATGTTGCTTTGGAAAAAACTTTCTGATTTTGTCTCCACAGAAGATGTGAACCTGTGGACTCCTTCCAGAATCATGTGGTTCAATAGAACAAGACTACTGAAAGGTCTTTATAAATTCCTAAAATTACTTTGTCCAACAAAAAGAAGGAAGCATTTTGGAGAGAATAATGCCCAAATTCCCAAATATTGTCTATAAATGTTTGTTTACATTTAAAGGGGGAGATGATATAGAGATAAGTACTTTGCACTGGTAGGGATCGCAGGTTCATAAATAGTCATTTATAATAATCAATCTTATAGTCATGCTAGCTAGGTTTTTTAGATATATAGAGATATATTTCAGATAGTTATTCTTCAATCCTTTCAAAGACTAACAGAATGTGGCATTTAAAATGTTTAAGAAATTAGGACTTTTCTCGACAAAGAGACACATCTGATCCTGGTAGCACCAATCTACTTTAAGAGGATGATGGACATTGAAGAGGATCCTTATGGAGTTGATTAGCCATTTTGGCAAGAAACTGCTCTTTCCTGGACTGCTTGATGTCATACGGTATGAACTAGATAAGCAGTACTCACAGACAAATGAGTGCTGAACTTGCCCAAAGGTGAGACACTACTTCATGAAAGAGTCTGTCAAAATTTTTTCAGGAAAAAGAGGAAAGTGACTGACAAGCTACCAATATAGGTGAAAATGTCTTTGAATTTTTCTGCTTCATGGATAAGCCTGCTAGATACTATTAGCCTGTAGGCTGAAGATGGATGCTCCAATGTTACAGAAGAACTTCATGTGACTGTCCACACAGTGAGATGTCTCTGTCAATTCTAGTGTTTTGTAGGTTACTTACATTGCACTTCTTGATAACTTAGGCAATATTATTTCCTTCTGGTGTCTTTGATGGAGTTGATGAATAGGTAGTTATAGTTATAGTTTTTGTTAGTTATGATAAAATATAAAATAGATATAACTATTGTAACTATAATTATTATTTGATAACTGTTTTGTTGTATGTAATCTTGCAATGTTAAATTTAAAACCTTTTTATTTAGTTGGAAAAGGGTATATAATATGGCATGCTGCTTTTATTGGTTAATGAATAAAGAAGTTGTTTTAGTCTGTGATAGAGCAGAACAGAGATAGGCAGGAAAACTAAACTGAATGCTGGAAGAAAGTAGGTGGAGTCAGTGAAACGCCATGTAGCCAACACTGGAAGAGAAAGATGCCTAATACTTTCCAGTATGCCACAACCTCATGATGATGCACAGATTAATAGAAATTCTATATTCTTTTTAGAAGCAGAAGGTTTTATTGCTACAATTCAAAGAATACAACTTATTGAAAGAAAAGTCAAGATGAACAAGTGTTAGTTAAATGGCAGCTTGAATTCAATGGTTTTGTCCTATTATTCAAATTTAGTTTCATATTGGACGAAATTTAAAATATTGCTCATGAAATAATTTAACCTTTTCAAAATCTTTTAACAAACAGGTAAAAAGGCACCACTAGTCCGATAAGTATTTACAGCAATCCCACAGTTTCATTTCAAGGCTACCTTAGTACACGTGGCTGTTGCGCGCACACAGTAAGTCATCATGAATCTCCAGCAGTGAGGACTGCAGGCTCTGGCTTGGGATGCAGTTCCGGTGTTATTGGTGATGGCCTGGGCCCATCAGCTACACCAGGACAGTACTGGTCTAACACGTCTACCTCAGCATAAAATCCAGTCACCTAAAATAACGACTGTTAAATTCCCAGGCATCACATAATTTAACTACATTCAGAAGACCTTGGGTGTTTTTTTAAAATTCTTTTTTAAAAAAAAGTAATTAGTGTTGAATGAGAACAATTTACTGAAAATATAACAATAGTTGCCAGAATTCAGTATTGGGCTTAACAAAAATTGTCGAAACATGTATAAAATTTCAACATAATCGAGATGAGGTTTTCTCAATCTAAGTGGAGCCTGGTATTTCCCGCAGCACGATGGAAGGAGGCCCTGAGAATGAAAGGCGCACATAGTAGCCAGGTTTAAGGAGCCGTGGAGATGCCAAGCAGATGGTTTCTGAAAGACTGGTGCAGGAGAGCAAAGTCCAAACATTTTCCTCTTGGTTTAACATTGGCGTTGATTTGTTATTTACAGCAGTTTGCAAAAATACATTATAAAAACTGAATGAGGTTTGGTTTCTAAGTTTAACTTAGTAACATACACACATACTTCATCTGCAAAACTCTTTGCAGGAGCTGAAGTACTAAAGTGACACTAATACTGAACACAGGTAACCAAAGGTATTGAAGCACTGAGAGCTCAGTCATCTTCATTGAGATAATCTGGGCAAATATTTCACAGTTCTTGTCAGTTGTTGATAAGCCATCAGATATCCAATTCCAAAAGGAATCCTTGGTGGCGTTTTGCTGTATCACTTATTTGAAGAAAGACTGCTTTAGGTTTCCTAACAACAGTGCAGATTGTCATGAGGTCTAGGTTTCAAAATTAGCTTTCCTGAATCATCACAAGACATATTATATTCTGCTAGTATCGTTCCGCATCGAGCAGCTATAATTGATGGTGCAACTACTCTTTTGTGTATGCCAGCAAAGAACAAGCCTATTAGAGTTATACAGCTAATTGTGAAAAATGGATGATTCCATAAGGACAGGAAGAAGGACACCTTTTGTGTCTCAGGATCTATTAGCCAGTTCCAGGTATCAGTAGCTATACAGACAGACACCACTATAAGAAGCATTCTCCGGCATCCAGTGGCAGGTTGCAAGCAACAAATATACTAAGTAAGGCTTCTTTGAAAGCCTTGAGATCTTCTGCCTGTTCCAGCGAGTTCATGTATGTTGGCAGCTCCAGTCACTGCCACGGCCAGGTCCGCATCGCAGCCCTTCATCCTTGCCCAGCCGGCAGCACCTAATTTTTATTTTATTAAAATAGATTCAAACTATGCCATACAATCTTACCTTCCTGTGAATACCTTTAAAATTTATTATACTCTGAGAATGAAAGAAAAAAAGGGAAAAAGGAAGGAAAGATGAAAATAAGATATTCACCAAATCCATATAATAAAAAAGGGCAAACAATGTCTAATCATCATCGTAGACAGTAAGCTGTCTGGCTATACTTCTAAAACTTCCATTGAAAAACAAGCCAAAAGCCCAAAATGCTTGAAATTCCACTTGATACCTCAGTAATCATGCTTCATTGAGTAGTGATTGATATAGAGGGGACATTGTAGGGTTCCAGTACCCACTTGTATCTGCTGTAGAGATGAAAATTATGAAGCCATTGAACAAATTTCCAGAAGATTGTGACATGTTTGCTCAGAAGAAAATATTACCTCTATTATCACAGAATATAAGAAAGACAATGAAATCACACTTTTTAAAACGTGAATGTTTCTGTTTCTAACCATGGGGGAGATGTTTTGTCTGTCAGTGTTCTTTACTCAGGAGTTGTTTAGAAATGTCAAACTTCATTCTCAAGATTCATATGTAGAATTTTATGTTAAACAATCCCTTAGCTAGCCCATATAAATAATGATATTGAAATTTGCAGGCAAATGGATGGATCTAGAAAACATCATATTGAATGAGGTAACACAGACTCAGAAAAACAAATGACATATGTACTCAGTCATAAGTGGCTTTTAGACACAAAGCAAAAAAAAAAAAAACCCAGCATACAATTTACAGTCCCAGAGAACCTAGACCACAAAGTGGACTGTAAGAGAGACATGTTTGGATCTAATCTACATGAGAAGTAGAAAAAGACAAGTTATCCTGAGAAAATTTGGAGCATGGGGACCATGGGAGATGGTAGAAAGGGAGGGGAGCAGAGAAATATATATATAGCCCAACAAAAAAAAATCTAAAAATATAATAATCCACCAAATCCAAATAGAGAATTCTAATAGAAAATACTCTGGAGATAATAACCTGTGTATTGCATCAAGTCCTGTTACCCCATTTGGTCTCTGCTAATTTTATAAGATGAACATAATTGACTTTTGCTTTATGATATAAAATTGTTTTGGAAAAAAATGAATTTCAATGACTGGTTGACTAATCATTCCTCTATCTTCCTATATCAATTAACTTACTTAAAAAAGTTAAAGGACTGCTCTCTATATTTTGTGATTTTTTTTTGAAAATGTTATTAACCTAATCAATGTGATTATCTATTGCTAACCTCTCTCAAGAATATACTATCTACAATGAGACACCACATGAGTCATGCAGGCTAATAAAGATTGCAAGGAAGATAACAAGATGCTTATTTATTACCTCGTATGCCTTGTTTTATATATTGTTCCCTTATTTCTTCTTTTACAAGATGTCTTTTAAGTATGATCCATAACTTTATATTGAAGAGCAAAACAAACAAACAAACAGAGTTTGGGCTTCAAATAAATTGCACAGATTGCTGAAGATTACCTGGCAGATTGTCAGCTATCTCAGGTTATTCTCTCCCCCTTAGCTGTACGCTTGTCTCAAGCTACTGTGCTAGCAGAGTTTGTATTTGGTTACATTGTGCAATTATCTTAGGAAATGGTTTTAGGAAAAACAGTGAACTTTTGAATTATTTGGAAAGTGAAATCACTGCCTTCAAAATTAGATAGCAGCAATTGCAAAAGTAATGAAGCATTGTTTGTAGTTAGGAGCATAAGTTGAAGCTAAATTTTGGTATCTTTGAACCACTTTATTTTTATCTGTATTATAAAGAGTGGGATTGCACTTGGTTCTGGCATTATTATTCATCTTTGCAAATACATGTCGAATTTTTTTAAATAGGAAATATGCTGTTGACTATATTAAAATACTCTGTCTCATATTGGAACAAGTATGCATTAATTTACAAAACAAAAACTTGTATTACTTGCCCTGATCATGATATAAGGATCTCAAGATAAAAAAATATATCATTAAACTTTAAAATAATTTCAGAGCATCACAGTACATTATACCTATCATAAATTTATATTATTAAGTTCTTATCAATGATAACTTTAATGAAACACCCAAACATAGAGCATAAATTAAGTTGAACAGTGACTTAAGGGTGTTATTAATATCCTAGACACAAATTCAGCTTCAAGTTTGGAAGAAATAGCCTATTCTAAATATCATTAATTACATTCAATATTAGCAAACTATAGGTAAGATTAACATGAGTGTCTCTTTTTCTCTAAATAAATTCTAAGAGATCAGTTTTGCTACATGTAGGTCCCATCTAAAAGAGACAATCTGTTGACTTCATTATGTTATTATTTCTCTGTCTACAGATTTAATTCGTACTTTAGACTCCTTGAGTGATGCTTGTTTCTAAAAGTGTAAAATCACTTCTGATAAAAATATAATACAATATTTACTTTTAGCCAAAATATATGGTTAGGAGAAAAGGAACCATAATCTTCAATCAGTTTTCGGGGGGCTTATGGGAGGCAAAAAGAAAGAATGACACAGTCAAGTAATTCTATCAATTTTGTGAGAAAGTTGATCTTAGATATATTCAGAAAGAATAATTTTCCCTTTGATATAGAAACATATATTAAGTATCAGCATTTTTGGTGCCAAAAGAGATTAAATTAATTTTCTACAATTTTCTTTCCTAACAGAAATAAGAGAGAAAAAGTAATGCATATTTAAAATCTGGAATGACATATTTTGAAGATGAATAAAATAATTCAAAATTAGCTCCTTTAAATTTAAATAAACGGCACTAATATGACCGTAAATGCCTTTCTGCATTGAGGCAGACAAATGGTAAGTGCTGCATTTTATGGATTGGCTATTTCATGTTTGAAGAGATTCTTTGAAGGACACACTACTTATACTTCCATTTTCTAAAGAGAAGAAAAAACAGAGTTATAAAACTCAAACAACTTGCTCAAGGACATAGAGCAAGGAAAAAAAATAATCAAACAGGAGAATAATAAAATTATAATTTGGAAACAAGAATCTCTAAGTAAATAACAAAACACCGAAAATACAATGGAATACTTTCTTCTTGAACAGTCAGAGTCCTGATAGTAGTAAGTGCATGAATATATTACATGTAAGTTAGAAATTCTATGTGATTGAGGCTCATGGAATTTTCTTCTTAGAGGTTCCAGGCTTGAGGTAACAGTCTGTTACATTTCAAGACAATAAAAAAGAATTGCTGAAGCCTAATGTAAGAACTTGAAGTATACGTTCTACAGAAAATATATGACATTCCTCAACAAAGAAAAAGTTTAGAGTATTTAAGGGGCTGTGAGAAATTTATGACAGTTTTTTAGAATAAACATAAGAATATTTTAGAGAAATTAAACTATAATATATAAAATTATAATGTTAGACATATGAAAATACATTATTCAAAACCCATATAAATATACAATAATGACCATAATATGCATAAATATTTTAAAATTTCAAATAATTTGCAAGGTTGGAATATTACATGTAGTAATCTATACTTTGAGTATTGATCTATGTTACATCTATGTGATGATACAACATAGAATTTTGAGGAGCAACACTGAATTCAATGATTAAATTATTTGATATAAAGCATTCTCAGCATCACGGAGCATATATATATATATATATATATATATATATATATATATATATATGAATTATCAACCAAGTTTGGTTTTTTATAATTTTAAACAATAGATCTCTCTCTCTCTCTCTCTCTCTCTCTCTCTCTCTCTCTCTCTCCTATTATTAAGTGAAATTGGCCTCTAGGTAAGAGCCCTGAGTAAGCACCAAATACATGCAAGTAGTAATGTGTCAGAGTATGGGACTTAGAAATATTGTTATTTACTTTATGTTAAATGGAATAATATGGCTCTATTATTCTGTGCTTATCACAACTAATAGAATGTGGAACTCACCTGTTATCACTTAATTAAAAAATATTTCTCAAAAGTCATGTGTTCAAATATTTATTTCCCAATTAATGGCACTGTTGGAGTAGGTAATGGGATCATTAGGAGATGTGGAACCTTTAGGAGCAAAAGTTGTTTCATGGGAGATGGTCCTTCAGAGCTGTAATGCACTTTCAGTCCAATTATCCTGTTTCCGGCCAGTCCACTAATATGTGAACAAGCATTCTCAATTTCTTCTAACATAGAGGGAAGAACCCTTCATTGTTTAATGGCTTTCCCACTACTATTTTATTAGCTTTGTTCAACCTTACTGTGGGAACTCCTTAAACCAATATCCTTTAAGATACCAGCCCACTTGGATATGGTCTCTTATACTATACAGATAGACATTCATAAAGTTTGCATGCTCTTTCTTTCTCTTGGCTGCTAAATTCTGTTCCTGTTCCCTGCTCATGAAGAGGACTGTGATCTGTGAGGACCCCTAAATAAAGATCCCTTTATTATACCGAAGTCTGAGCTAGTATAGACCTATTTTATAGCATCCATCTACACAAATTAATGGTGAAAAGTACTTTAATTATATTTTTAACAAATGGGAAGTTTGATTTTCTATATTTTTTCAGATGTTATATTTTTCTTTCCTTGCTACTCATGCATCAGAGTTCTATCTCATACACAATACATTTTAAAGTTGCTTTTTCTTCCTTGCATTGTGACAAGCTAAATTGACAAAAACATCAACATATATTAATAGAATCTGTAAGAGAAATGAGGATACAGAGCAAAGCATTGCCCAAAAATTACAGCAGAAAGGGTATTGTTCCAAAGATTCATGGCTTAACAAGAATACCCAATATTAAGAAACACCAAAAAATATGGAAAACTGAGGAAGACATATTAGTATATTGCATAAGACTTTGGAAAGCTTCACAATTAAAATATTATATGAGAAATATCAAAG